TGGAAGCCAGGAACATGTTGGCAGCACAGGCAGGGAGAGCGGAAAACATCCCCCTCTGTGAAAAAAACCCACAGGGGATTTTTAAGCACTTCCCTGACTTATCTGAGCCTGTGTGGAGTAGCGGTTAGAATGTCAGTCTAAGATCATGGAGATCCAGGTGCGAATCCCCACTCCGCCATGGAAGGTTGCTGGCTGACTCTGGCCCAGTCGCACACTCCCAGACAGAACTGCCTCACAAGGTGGTTCGGAGGAGAAAAGGGGAGAACAGTCTAAACAGCTTTGTGTCCTCACTGGAGACAGGGAGGGTGGAATATACCACCTCCTTTTAGGGTTCCCAACCTCCAGGTGGTGGCTGGAGATCTCCCGCTATCACAACTGTTCTCCAGGTGACAGAGATCAGTTCCCCTGGAGGAAATGGTCGCTTTGGAGGGTGGACTCTATGACACTGTGCCCCACTGAAGTTCTTCTCCTCCCCAAATCCTGCCCTCCTGAGGCTCCACCCCCCAAATATCCAGGTTTTTCCCAATCCAGACCTGGCAACCCTACCTCGTTTACAAACGAAGGAGGTGTACATGAAAGCTTCTACCAGTTTGGTGTAGTGGTTAAGTGCACAGACTCTAATCTGGGAGAACGGGGTTTGATTCCCCACTCCTCCACTTGCACCTGGCTGGATGGCCTTGGGCAAGCCGTAGTTCTGATAAGAGCTGTCCTTGAAAAAGAGCAGTTTCTGTCAAGAGCTCTCTCAGCCCCACCTACCTCACAGGATGTCTGTTGTGGGGAGGGGAAGGAGTTTGTAAACCGCTCTGAGACACCTTAGGGTAGTGGAGGGCGGGGTATAAATCCAATCTCTTCTCTTCCTCTTCTTCTAATCTGGGAGAACCGTGTTTGATTCTCCACTCCTCCGCTTGCACCTGGCTGGATGGCCTTGGGGAAGCCATAGTTCTGATAAGAGCTGTTCTTGAAAAAAGAGCAGTTTCTGTCAGAGTTCTCTCAGCCCCACCCACCTCACAGGATGTCTGTTGTGGGGAGGGGAAGGGAAAGGAGTTTGTAAGCCGCTCTGAGACACCTTTAGGTAGTGAAGGGCGGGGTATAAATCCAATCTCTTCTTCTTCTTCTTCTTCTACCCAGAATTAAACTTTGCTGGTCTTAAGGGTGCCACTAGACTCCAGTTTTGTTCTACTGCTTCAGACCGACACGGTGACCCACCTGAATCTACAGGTATGAAGTGCGTTAGCTAGAAAAGATCGCTTTCTCGTTTTCTTGTTATTAACCTGACGAGACGTGTACTGGATAGCTGATATATTTTAGGAAACTAATAAGCCTTCATTCATTTTAAAAAGTCTGGTTTATTGTGTGCAAAATCCCACCCCGGGAACCCACAGTTAAATTGGGCTGGGAAGTTGTTCAAGGGTTCCAGGACTGGAGCCTGGAACAACTCAGTGAGGGAGCTGGAGAGTGAATTCTGACACCTTCCTACTTGAGAGTGAATTCTGACACCTTCCTACTTTTTAAAACACTCCCGCCTGTGGGAGAATGTAAGAAGAGGCCTTGCAGAATCAGACCAGAGGTCTACCTAGCCCAGCACTCTGGTTTCTACAGTGGCCAACCAGGTGCCCCAAAGATGCCCATGAGCAGCCCATAAAGGAACAGGCGTCCCTCCTGTTGCTCTCCAGTAATTGGTGTTCAGACGTAGAGTGCCTCTGAGCATGGAAGTTCCATTTAGTCGTCCTATCAATGGAGAAACGAAAACTTTAAGACAAGGTATTCTGAAATAGCTTCCCCTCCCAAATAACACTTTCCATAGCCCGCTCCTCTACATGCAGCCACTGGTGTGACCTTGGGTCAGTTACAAGTTCTCTCAGAGCTGTTCTCTCAAGGGTAGTTCTCAAAAGAGCTCTCTCAGCCCCACCTACCTCACAAGGTGTCTGCTGTGGGGAGGGAAAGGAGATTGTTAGCCGCTCTGAGACTCCTTCAGGTAGTGAAGGGCAGGGTATAAATCCAATCTCTTCTGATCCAATCTCTTCTTCTTCTTGACTGATGGCCAGAATGAATGATCCCTGAGCTGAGTTTGTATATATTTCAGTTTTGCATAGAAATACCACAGATTGAATCTCTTACATTTCAGGGACATTTAAATCTCTCTTTTTACATTCCCCCCTTCCCTTTTCCCTTTGCTGTGTATATGTTCCACTGACTGAGAATTCGCTTCATGCATCCAATAAAGTGGGATGTGGCCCAAGAAAGCTGATGGTACATCCTAAGCCTGTTTTCCTGGAAGTAAGCCCCAATGGGAAAAAAAGGGGGCTTGGGGGTGAGCAGGCCTGGTTTGGATCGCTCCTCTAAACCTGTTAATCATAACAGTCCCACAAGACTCTTCATTTTACAGTTCTGTGAGGAAAATATACAGGCCGCATGACTGAAATGGCACCACCCGTTTACAGATTTGACAAGAATCAGAGGAAAGCTGAAACACCGTTGCAAGTTCACCACACCTTGGGTTCACTGCCGGGTTTAATAAACAAAAGGGGGTGGGCACACTTAGAAGTGAATTTTTGGCATTCACCCAACAGCAGAAAGACCCAAATACCCATCCCTGTTAGTAACAGAAGAAGCTGCCTTATCCCTGGGCAGTCAGATCCTTTCTCTGTCTTAACTCAGCGTTATCTAACAGCAGCCCAGGGTTGCCAACACCAGGTTGGGAAATTCCTGGAAATTTGGGGGTGGAGTCCGGGACGGGAAGACACACCAGCAAGGTATGCCACAGAGTCCACCCTCCAAAACAGCTCTAAACTGTAGCTGTGGCTGGCTCCAGTGTGCGGATTTACAGTATCCTCACAGGGCCCAGCTCTTGGCTAATGTAGCAATGGTCATCATTTATTTTTAAGGGGGAGGAGTGTCATGTACCACTGCCCCTTCACGCACCAAGTGGCCCAAACTTCATTGACAGTGTGTGTGTGTATAACTCATGTGTAGAGTTTGACAGGTCATGTACCACTGCCCCCTCACGCACCAAGTGGCCCAAACTTCATTGTGTGTGTGTGTGTGTGTGTGTGTGTGGGTATAACTCATGTGTAGAGTTTGACAGGCTCTGTACTTTTTTTTTTTGCTGTCCTCACAGCCAACTTATGGCAACCCCGCAGGGCTTTCAAGACGAGAGATGATCAGAAGCGGTCTGCCGTTAGGGTTACCATCCCCCAGGTGGGGGATCCCCCATTTTCGCCGGCTTCCCCCACCAGCAGCCAGCTGGCCGGCAAGAGGAAATTGCCCCCACCCACCCCAAACACCAACATTGTGCATGATATGCTGATGTCACCCGGAAGTGACGTAAGCACGTCGGTGATGTTGGGGGGGGTGACACTCTGGTTTTTGGGCAAAACTCTATGGTTTGAGGGTGATTTTTACCATAGAGTTTTGCCCAAAAACCAGAGCGTCGCCCCAATGTCACCGGTGTCCCTACATCACTTCTGGGTGACGTATGCACATTGTGTAACGTCCCCGCCCACTCCCAGAACACCCCCCAACACCCCCCGCTGGAGCGACAATTGGGCCTAGCAATCCTATTTGCCATCGCCTGCCTCCACATCATGACCCTCGTACTCCTTGGTGGTTTCCCTTCCCAGTACTGACCAATACTCTGCTTAGCTTCTGAGATCTGACAAGATTAGGTTACCCTGGGATATCCCAGGACAAGGCTCTGTACCCAATATGGTGGTGGAAAGGGCCATCAAGCCGCGGCCAACCCATGGTGACCCTGTAGGGTCCTTCAAGGCAAGAGACCTTCAGAGGTGGTTTGCCATTGCCTGCCTCCATGCCACGACCCTGGTATTCCTTGGAGGTCTCCCATCCAAATACTAGCCGGGGCTGGCTCTGCTTCGCTTCTGAGATCTGAAACGATTGGGCTAGCCTGGGATATCCAATAAAAGGTAAAGGTTCCCTTGCTCGAAAGCCAGGCGAATCCGACTCTAGGGTTACGGTGCTTCATCTCCAATTCAAAGCCGAAGAGCCAGCGCTGTCCGAAGACGTTTCCGTGGTCATGTGGCCGGCATGACTAAACACCAAGGCGCACGGAACGCTGTTACCTTCCCACCAAAGTGGTACCTATTTATCTACTTGCAATGTCTTGCTTTCGAACTGCTAGGCTGGCAGGAGCTGGAACTAGAGACAGGAGCTCACTCCGTCTTGCGGCACACTCGGGTCTCGAACCGCTGAACTACTGACCTTCCACAGCCTGCAGTTCAGCGTCTTAACCACTTCAGCCACCGCAGCTCCGGGATATCCAACAGGGGACTCTAAAATTTAGCCGCTTTCCCATCATAAGGACTGCATTTGGTTAGAATTCTAGACACAGGGTTGGATACAGAGTAAGTTTTCTATCAGCAGAACAGAACCTTCCTGTCCCCGCCCCGCAGCCCACAGATCTGCATAAAATGATGCTCCTGTGGGATCAAGGCCAATGTTCCCTCTAAGCTGTGGAGTCTTGTGAGCAAAAATTCTACTCTGTGAGCTACTGGCATTAAAGTTGTGAGCGAGCGACTTGGCTACTGCATAAATTTAGTTTGCTCTGGAGCCCTCCTTCCTGAGCGAAGACAAATATGTGTGAGCTGGAGGCTAAAAACCTGTGAGCTAGCTCACACTAACTCAGCTTAGAGGGAACACTGATTTCAAGGCCCACAAGGAACGCCATGAAGGGGTCTGCAGTAAGAAAACCGGTGGAAATTGCTGATTTAGTCTGGCGCATGGGAGCATCACAAATGTATACAGCCATTCATTTCAAAATTGCTTTACATTCTTTATTCACTTCTTTCTTCTTGGCTTCCAAACAGGTCTGTGAGCGACCTTGATATTACTCCCATTTTCCTGAAGGGGAGGAAGTAAGGCTGACAGAAAGCGACTCCCCCCAGGCCACAGAGTTTGTCCACGGGACAGGCGGTTTGTCACTTAATCGTGCTCCCTTCTCCACGACTGCCACCGCCCCGCCACTCTTCCCAGCTTCCAAGCACTTCAGGGATTTCTCACTGTTGTGGATCCGCTCGTGTCGGATGAGGGTCGACTGGTGGCTGAAGCTCTTCCCGCATTCCGAGCATTTGTACGGCTTCTCGCCCGTGTGAGTCCGGTTATGCGCGATCAAGGACGATCGGTCGCTGAAGCTTTTCCCACAGTCCGAGCATGAATATGGTTTCTCTCCGGTGTGAGTCCGCTTGTGCGTCGTCAGGGTGGACCGGTCGCTGAAGCTCTTCCCGCAGTAGGGGCACTTGTAGGGCTTCTCCCCTGTGTGGATCCTCTCGTGCTTGACGAGGTGTGGGCGCTGGCTGAAGCTTTTCCCACAATCGGCACACTTGTACGGTTTCTCCCCAGTGTGGGTTCTCTCGTGCAGAATGAGGTGCGATCGCTGGCTGAAGCTTTTCCCACAGTCCAGGCATTTGTATGGTTTCTCCCCTGTGTGTATCCTCTGGTGGGTAATGAGGACATTCCTTCGGCAAAAGGTTTTCCCACAAACGGAACATTTATACTGGGTCTCTCCTGTCAGGGTCCTTTCGTGAACAATCAGGTCAGACTTCAGTCTAAAAACCTCCCCCCACTTAACAGATGTGTTTTCCTGCCCACCCTTGAGGGTTGTAGGTTGCTCTGCTGTGTTCTCATCAAGATCTTCATACCCTCCCTGAGAATTAATGAATTTGCCTCCTTCTTCTGGCCCTGGGCGGATGGGCTGCAGGCTCTCACATCCAGCCTCTCGAACACAACGATCCTGCTCCATTTCTTGTGACAGCAGCGCATATGTTTCCAACTCCTCAGAATTTCCTGGCTCATTCTTCTCTTGCTGGCGTGCTGTCTCAGGAGAAGCTAGAATGGGGGGAAATACAGATGTGTATTCGGTGGCCTGAAGAAAAAGTGAATCTCAAAATAAGGAGGAGACCATGGTTCAGGATGAAGAAGGTCCCGGGTTCAGTCCCTGACATCTCCAGCTGAAGGATATTAAGTACTGAGGAAGAGTTTTCTGTGCCTTAGATGCTGGAGAGCTGCTGCCAATCAGAGGAGAGGTTACAGAGGGACGCAAGTTCAAATCCTCTGTCGGTCAGGACACTCACTGGGTGGCCTTATGGATCTCTCTCTCTGAACCTAACCTACCTCACAGGGTTGTTGTGAAGATAATATGGAGGGCGGACGAACTGTATGCATTGTTCTGAGCTCCTTGGAGAAAAGGGTGGGATGAAAATGTGAGGACGAGGGTTGTTGTTTTTTCACTGATTATTTATCAAATTATTTTAACTTTCAGTTTTATGTGAGGAACTGCCTCAAAAACCTTCACTTGAAAGGCGGAGACCTAAATTTTTCAAAAATAAGACTGATTCCTCTTGACATGTTGAACCTGTGACCCTGCCTTACACCGAGCGATACTATTGGTTCATCTGGGTCAGTACTGTTTCCTTCGATCGGCAGCAGCTCACCAGGATCTCAATAGACAAGATCTACCCCATCAGGGAAATCTCCCAATGTTGACCCCCCCGCAATAAATACACCAGATCACTAAAACCAGCAAATAGCAAACCACATTCACCTAAACTCCTGGGTGAATAAAAATGGCCCCGCAAGTAGCTTTGGGGATGTTGTTCCACAATTTATACCCAGGATCAGTCTCACATTAGCTGCTAACTTAGACGTCATGCCCAATAATCTAATCAGAGCCAGTTTGATGTAGTGGTCAGGAGTGTGGACTGCAATCTGGGAGAACCGGGTTTGATTCCCCACTCCTCCATATGCAGCTGCTGGTGTGACTTTGGGTCAGTCACAGTTCTCTCAGAGCTGTTCTCTCAAGGGCAGTTCTTGGGAGAGCTCTCTCAGCTCCACCTACCTCACAGGGTGTCTGTTGTGGGGAGGGGAAGGGAGCAGAGATTGTGAGCCATTCTGAGACTCCTCCCTTCCCCCCCTCACATATATGCTAATGCTACTAATGCTATGGGTAGTGAAGGGTGGGGTATAAATCCAACCTCCTCCCTTCCCCTCCTCACATAAATGCTAATGCTATGGGCACTCTTGAAATACCACATATTGTGGATCCAAAAGGCAAATATAGCTGCTAAGTGAGTCATTTTACAATACTGGAAATCTCAAATCTCTCTCTATATATAGATCTCTGGGTCCATGATATGCTAGACCTTTGTACAAAAGAGAGAACACATGTAACAGGCGAGAAGCTCGCAGAACCTTCACCTCCATTTAGCATGGATTCTTGTACCTATCTGAGCAATGATATCTCCTCACCTTTTATTCCCCGTTTAATTGAATCCATAATGTTGCACCTTACTTTCCTAACCTACACTCCTGCAGTATCCTTTTTTCCTTCTCAGCTAACAGGACGCATTAAGGAAGAGGGAACGGGGTGGGCTATATGGGGTTTGTTTGCTATGTTAACTTTTTTGTGTGAAAACAATAAAAACCTCAGTTATAAAGAAGAAGTTCCACAGTTAAGGGGCCACCGCCAAGAAGGCCCCGGGCTCTCCTGGCCACCCACCTTCAGACAGAAGAACTCCTTACCCAGCAAAGGGCCGTCTCTCGTGCGTTCTTGCTTGATCCCCCTGGAGTGGGCCCTCCTCCAGGTATCCAACGGAGTACACTCTGTCTCGGGGAAATTCCGTACTGCCTCTTGGCCTGAACCCAATCCCTGAAACAGCATCAATGAAGAGGGATAGATAGGGATCATCAAATTATCTCCAGCACATTATTTTTTCATTCACGTAGCGCCATGCATGAGGTTCTGCAGAGGATGAGGGCGGTCCCACACGACAACTTTCATTTGTGGTGCTCAGTTGTTCCCACCCATTCTATATGTGACTGCGTACGATGGGGAAACCCTGCACTGGGAAGGTGCTGCCCCACTGATGATTTATTTGTTCAGGACATGTCTCTGCAGCCTCTACAGAGTCCTGCTTGAGGTGACTTCAAGGTTAAAAAAAATCCCTTCTCCATAAAACCATCATCACAACAAAATAAACCACTAAGTTAGCCAGGGAGATTTAAAAACAACTTAAAGATAGCCAAAAACAGATTTCAGAGAAGAGGCTAACCACAAACAATTAAAAGGATAAAACCTCTCATAAGAACATAAGAGAAGCCATGTTGGATCAGGCCAATGGCCTGCCCAGTCCAATGCTCTGTGTCACACACAGTGGCCAAAATCCAGGTGCCATCAGGAGGTCCACCAGCAGGGCCAGAACTCCAGAAGCCCCTCCCACTGTTGCCCCCCAAGCACCAAGAAGACAGAACATCCTTGCCCCAGACAGAGTGATCCATCTATAACTTGCGGCTAATAGCCCCTGATGGACCTCTGCTCCAGATGTTTATCCCATCCCCTCTTGAAGCGGTCTATGCTTGTAGCTGCCGCCACTTCCTGCAGCTGTGAATTAAACGTTTTGTACTGGCACAAGTGTTGGTACCAGGCAAGCATCAACCAGGAGGGTTATCCAAAGGCGAGGTGCAATGCTCCCTCTAAACTGTGGAGTCTTGTGAGCAAAAATTCTACTTTGTGAGCGACTGGCATTAAAGTTGTCAGCGAACGATTTGGCTACTGCATAATTTAGTTTGCTCTGGAGCCATCCTTCCTGAGCTAAGACAAAAATGTGTGAGCCGGAGGTTAAAAAACTGTGAGCTAGCTCACCCTAACTCAGCTTAGAGGGAACACTGGGTGCCACCCCTGAAAATGTCCTGTCTCTAGCCACCGCCTGCCTCATCTCTGAAAGCGGGGGCACAGAGAAACCAATATTTAGGCATTTTTCCATGACTTTAAAAAACGGATGCCTATGTGCCATCAAGTCTCAGATTAAAACGTGGAATTCACTGCCAGAGGACGTTGTGATGGCCACAGGAATAAACAGCTTCAAAGGGAGATTAGATAGATTCACAGAGGAGAAGTCTATCGATGGCTACTAGCCATGATGGCTGAGGGGAACCTCCACATTCAGAGGCACTAATCCTCAAAATCCCAGAGCCAGGAGGCCACCTCGGGGGAAGGCCTCAGCCTCCATGCCCTGTTGTTGGCCCTCCAGAGGAACCAGCTGGCCACTGTGTGAGACAGGATGCTGGATTCGACGGACCATTGGTCTGATCCGACAGGGCTCTTCTTATGTTCGTATCTTATTATCCCCTGTCTGACAGAGAGTGATTAAAATGTGGAATTTGCTGCCAGAGGATGCTGTGATGGCCACAGCTTCAAAAGGGGATCAGATAGATTTAGAGGCACTAATCCTCTGAATCCCGGAGCCAGGAGGCAACTTCAGGGGGAGGCCTCGGCCTCTCTGCACTGTTGTTGGCCCTCCAGAGGAACTGCTTGGCCACTGTGTGAGACAGGATGCGACGTTGTGATGGCCACAGGAATAAACAGCTTCAAAGGGAGATTAGATAGATTCACAGAGGAGAAGTCTATCGATGGCTACTAGCCATGATGGCTGAGGGGAACCTCCACATTCAGAGGCACTAATCCTCAAAATCCCAGAGCCAGGAGGCCACCTCGGGGGAAGGCCTCAGCCTCCATGCCCTGTTGTTGGCCCTCCAGAGGAACCAGCTGGCCACTGTGTGAGACAGGATGCTGGATTCGACGGACCATTGGTCTGATCCGACAGGGCTCTTCTTATGTTCGTATCTTATTATCCCCTGTCTGACAGAGAGTGATTAAAATGTGGAATTTGCTGCCAGAGGATGCTGTGATGGCCACAGCTTCAAAAGGGGATCAGATAGATTTAGAGGCACTAATCCTCTGAATCCCGGAGCCAGGAGGCAACTTCAGGGGGAGGCCTCGGCCTCTCTGCACTGTTGTTGGCCCTCCAGAGGAACTGCTTGGCCACTGTGTGAGACAGGATGCTGGACTAGTTGGACCGCTGGTCTGATCCATAAGGGCTCTTAATGATCCATAAGGGCTCTTAATGACTTAGGTGACCCCAGCAGGGGACTCTAAAGGCAATGATAAGCAGAGGTAGTTTGCAGCTGCCTTCCTCTGCAGAGTCTTCACTGATGGGCTCCCAGCACCCAGAAGTCATTTCGGGGGGTGATGTCAGGGGGTGTGGCCTTATGACACACTTCCAGTGATGTTAGGGGGTGTGGCATATGCTAATGAGTTATGCTAATGAGTTCCCCTAGCTCTTTTTCTACGAAATGACCCCTGCCAGCACCAACGCTGCTTTGCTTCTGGGATATAACAGGAACAGGCTATACTACATCACACAGCTACTGAGCAACAAATCCAATTCTCAGGGAGGACCAGGAAACTGGAGATAATGTACTTAGGCTCCGCTCACACGGGCAGGAAACTGCGGGGGGGGAAGCGTGGCTGTTTGCCCCAGGGCAAACTAACGCATGGTTAAGAGATCAGACCTCCTGTGGAGGTTCTGTGGAGGTTCCGTGGAGGTTCCATGGGTAGGGAGAGGTGCCGATCACAGGACACGCCTGCGCACAACGAAGAAGCACACGGTGCGGCAAACTGGTTTTCTTTTTTTGTGTACACAACAAATGCGCATGCTCCGTTGGGTGCGTGTGCGCATCCACGGAGACTTGGGGAGAAAAAACACCTTTTTCGCAAGGGGACATGGGCGGGCGCCGGATGCCACCGGAAACGCGATCAGACGCCCGCCCTTGCCCCGCGGTTTCTGGAAACTAGTACCTCCGAGGTACTAGTTTTTTGCTGCGTGAAGCCTCGGTTGTGCCACGGAAGCGCTACGCTTCCAGATGTGCCTGTGAGATCGCGCCCGGAAAATCCGCCTGTCTTCCGTCTCTCTTGCGTGGCTAATGTTCCATGTGACCGCAGCCTTAGTTTGTTTGTTTTTTTAACTTAGTACTTAGTTTTTTTATTCTATAATGACTTCATACGGCCACTGAGAGTTTTCTGCACAGACCAAAAAAAATTATTGCAAGGGGGTAGCTGTGCTAGACTGCTGTAGCAAAATTAAACAAAAGCCCAGTGTCACCTTAGAGGCTGGTGAAGATGGAAAGGCCCGTCAAAGGCAGCTGTCATTGCCTGCCTCTGCATAGAAATCCATTCCTTCCTTGGTGGTCTCTCATCCAAGTACTAACCAGGGCTGACCCTGCTTGGCTGCTGAGATCTGACCACATTAGGCTAGCTGCTAGCCTGTGCCATCCAGGTCAAGATACTTTAAAGACTGACAACATTTAGTTCAAGGAGAGCTTTCATGAGTCGTAGCTCATCTCTTTGTGAGCTGTGATTCACAAAAGTGTTGGCAGAGTGCCTCTGCAACAGACAAGACACGGAACTGATTTGTGCAAACCCCATCCCCCATAAATCTACACTCACGTCTCAGCTAACTCTAGCTAGAAACTCCAAGCTCTCCCCTCCCAGATTTTCCCATTAGAAATCACAAACAAAGTAGTACAGTTTTCTTAATGAAGTTATAGTATCAGTACTTTTTTTAAGTGACTGGGGCTGCTGATTTGAGGTCACAGGTAACAAGCCCAGATGTTGGATGAGATTAATAGTGCAAAGACCGTCTACAATCAGTGTTCCCTCTAAGCTGAGTTAGTGTGAGCTAGCTCACAGTTTTTTAGCCTCCGGCTCACACATTTTTGTCTTCGCCTCAGGAAGGATGCCTCCAGAGCAAACTGATTTATGAAGCAGCCAAATCTCTCGCTCACAACTTTAGTGTTCCCTCTAAGCTGAGTTAGTGTGAGCTAGCTCACAGTTTTTTAGCCTCCGGCTCACACATTTTTGTCTTCGCCTCAGGAAGGATGCCTCCAGAGCAAACTGATTTATGAAGCAGCCAAATCTCTCGCTCACAACTTTAGTGCCAGTAGCTCACGAAGTAGAATTTTTGCTCACAAGACTCCACAGCTTAGGGGGAGCATTGGTCTACATTGCAGAATGTGGTGAGAAAAATAGCCTCAAACCCACTCCTGGGAAAATCAGGAGGATAATGGGGGAAACTCCAGATTCTTAACAACATTATCAGGCACCACTGTTATTACTGCATGTACAATTGATGGCAATGGCACCATCCATAACTGAATGAATCCGTCTCAGACAACAGAACTTTTACGAGGCCATCTGAGAGCATATGGAATGCATGCATGGGACATGTAGGATGCAGGGTACCTTTTCTGTCCTGAACCCTCTTACCTGCGTGTCTCGCCTCTTGTCCTCTCGCTGCCTCAGCCGGAACTCCTCGGCCAGGGCCACTGCCTGGGAGCAGGTCTCCGGCCTGCTTTTCCTGACCCAAAGGTGCATTTCCTGGGGCAGGATAGTTAGGAACTGTTCCAGGATCACCAGCTCCAGGACCTGCTCCTTGGTGTGTCTCTCCGGCTTCAGCCACCAATGGCAAAGTTCTCGAAGCCGTCCACAAACCTCCCGTGGTCCCTCAGCCTCCTGGTAGCTGAACTGCCTGAAGCGCTCGCGCTCCGCATCCAAGCTCCAGACCTCCCCCGTCTCTTCCTCCTCTAGGATTTCTTCCTTCACTTTCCCACAGTTTGCCTGGGCCTCAGCCAACACCCCGTTACCCAACGGCTGGGCTTCTCCCCTTAGGGATGACGGCAAACGAGTCGTCCTGTCTCCTCTTGGAGGTGTCCTGGCATCTGTCACTTCTGCAGTCGGCGGGAGAACCGTCTGTGCTTCCTCTCGTATTGTCAGCCCAAGAAACTGCAGGTTTCTCCCCTCCGAATGAGGGGACTCCATGGCCTTCAAGAACTCCTGCAACTGGGCCTCCCAGGGCTGCTGCTGCTGCACCCCCTTCCGCAGCTCTCCTTTAACACCGTCCGCTGTGTTTCTTTCCCAGATTTCCTGACGGTTCCCAGCCTGGACAAAGGGACGGCCTTTCCCTGCCCCGTGTTCAGACAGGTCTGGCTCCTCCTCTTTCATCCTCTGCTCAGGCCCAGACTCCAAAGGTAGACTCGGGGTTGACGTGTTTCCGAGCCCTGTGGCCATTTTCCTTCTTCTCCTACAGCGCGGGCCAGACTGGTACAACTATCAGCCAGTCTTTCTCCTCAGCCGTATTTCTCACATGAGGGCAAAACGCTTCTTCCTGAAGGAGAACAACCATCGCCAAGAGTGACTTCGGTGAGCTGAGCAATCAGCCCAAAAATGACTCATGTGGTTCCAGAACATGAATGCCCCTTTTCTATGTTACCTCCCCACACACAAAGTGAAAAGACGTCAACGTCTATCATAATTATTACTAATTTAGGGAAAGTGATGGTGGGAGGGTATAAATCTTTTCACAATCCATGAGGTGTGTGTTTATGGAACCCTGACTGAACAAAAAAAAATGCATTTGGTCACAAGTTCTCTAAGAGCTGTTCTCTCGGGAGCAGTCCTCAAAAGAGCTCTCTCAGCCCCACCTACCTCACAGGGTGTCTGTGGGGAGGGGAAGGGAAAGGAGACAGGAAGCCACTCTGAGACTCCTTTGGGTAAGTGAAGGGCAGGGTATAAATCCAATCTATTATTATTATTATTATTATTATTAAGATTTTTAGCCCCCACTCACCGGAAGGGTCTCGTGGCGACTTACAATATTAAAACCAATAAAGTAAAAAACAACATAAAAACAAATAAATATAAAACATGGGCATTAAAATGTTTAAAATATGTAATGATACTCTGGAGGAATTAAACAGAGATGGTAAGCAGGATGAAAGGTAGGCTCATAGCAGGTGCGGTTCCCCTGAGCTAACAGAACAGAACGTCCCCAGTTCAATTCCCGACATCCCCAACTAAAGAAACTCAAGTGAGTAGATTTCTGGCAGAGGTTAGATTTGAACTGTGGCTCTCCTGCATCACAACTCCTTCTCTAAGCCACTGCTGGTTATGTGATTTAACCTTCATATTCTCCAGAATAAACTCCCCTGAATAAAGCCAAGGGGGATTTATTTACACTATCTAAAGAGGCTGGTTGTCTACACGTTAATCTTCTTTAAGATGCCTTCAATACAAAGAGGGTGCAGCATAGAAATATTTTAAAAATAAAAAAATAGGGAGAGAATCCAGGCACATGTTAGAAAGCCCGAGCACTTAGATCAGGGGTCCCCGACCTTTTCAGCCCGTCACCTTTGAAATTCTGACACAGGGTGGTGGGCACTGCCACAAAATGGCTGCTGGGAAAGGGCAGCTGGAGGGACCGGAGCCAACTACAAAATGGGTGTGGCGACTCATCTTCAGTCGCACAGTGAAGACCCCTGTGCTGTGCAGGCAGTTGCTGTTTAAGCTGCATTTTTAACAATCTGCACTGTCAATCAAATCTCCAATGGCCAATCAGAAGTCTTGCTGGGCGAAAGCCCCACCTGCCCCCGCCCACTTTCTAAGAACACTTGCTGGGTGCCCGGAGAGGTGTCGGCAGGTACCAGGGCACTCACAGGCACTATGTAGGGGGCAGAGCACTGACAGAGGCAGAAGATGAAACATTACAAAACAGTCTTCACGGTTTGTTGTTTCTTTAAAGGTAAAGGTTCCCTTGCTCGAAAGCCAGTCGAGTCTGACTCTAGGGCTGCGGTGCTCATCTCCGTTTCAAAGCCGAAGAGCCAGCGCTGCCCGAAGACGTTTCCGTGGTCATGTGGCCGGCATGACTAAACGCCAAGGCGCACGGAACGCTGTTACCTTCCCATGGAAGTGGTACCTATTTATCTACTTGCAATTTCTTGCTTTCGAACTGCTAGGTTGGCAGGAGCTGGGACCAGAGACGGGAGCTCACTCCATCATGCGGCACACTCGGGTCTCGAACTGCTGAACTACTGACCTTCCACAGCCTGCAGTTCAGCGTCTTAACCACTTGAGCCACCTATAACTTACTTTTTAAGGTGTCTTCATAGAGTAAAAGGATCTCAAGCCCAGCTGAATACACATGAACCTGCCTTCTACTGAATCAGACCCTCGGTCGATCAAAGTCAGTGTCGTCCACTCAGACTAGCAGCGGCTCTCCAGGGTCTCAGGCTGAGGTCTTTCCCATCACCTCTTTCCAGACCTTTTAACTGGAGATACCAGGGATTGAACCTGGGACCTTCTGAATGCCAAGCAGAGGCTCTGCCATGAGCCACAGGGCTAGTACATTCTGTGTCATTTGGTCAATGGGATTAGCAGGGTGTAACTGTGTTTAGGATTGCACTGTATACCAAAACAGGGCAATGTATCCACCGAGCTCAGTACTCTGACTAGCAGGAGCCCTCCAGGGTCTTGAACACAAGGTGGTCTTTCCTGCTTCCTGAGATCTTTAACTGGAGACACACAATAACAATATAGCTTACATGTTTCACAGCAGTGTAATTTCCATAAGACCTGTATTATATCTCCATCCTATATTCGAGGACCTGGGCGGTCTGTCTTCATGGGATGGATTTTGCTATGAAACCATGTCAAACAAGGCCTTCTTTCTTCTGTGCGACAAGAACTACATTATCCTCCTTCGCTTTGGAAAGAATTGCTAAACAAAAGAGAGCTTCATTCTCTAATAAATGCTGGACCACAAAAAGCCAAGTTCTCCTCAGATGCACCAGTACATTCAAGACAAACAAACAGAGGGAGGGGCCATGGCTTGGCATACAGAAGGTCCTGGGTTCACAGAATCATAGACTCACAGAACAGAGTTGGAAGGGACCTTGCCGGTCATCTAGTCCAACCCCCTGCACTCTGCAGGAGCATAGCCAAAAAATAGCCCTACATACCTATGACATACCCAAAAGATGGTCGTCCAGCCTCCGCTTGAAAATGTCCAGTGAAGGAGCATCCACCACCTCCCGAAGCAGTCTGTTCCACTGCTCATCCACTCTTACAGTTAGGAAGTTTCTCCTGATATTTAGTCAGTAACAACTCCCTTGTAATTTCTCTCTATTAGATCTAGTCTTGCACCCTGGAGCAAGAGAGAATAGATCTGCTCCATCTTCTACATGACAGCCCTTCAAATACTTGAAGACTGCAATCATGTCCCCTCTAAGCCTTCTCTTTCCCAGGCTAAACATACCCAACTCTTTCAGCCTTTCCTCATAAGACTTGGATTCCAACCCTCTCACCATCCTGGTTGCCCTCTTCTGGACACGCTCGACCTTGTCCACATCCTTCCTAAAATGTGGTGCCCAAAACTGGACACAGTCCTCCAGGTGAGGCCTGACCATAGCAGAATAGAGAAGAACTACCACCTCCCGTGATCTGGACACAATGCTTCTGTTAATGCATTCAATCCCCAGCATCTCCAGTTTAAAGGACCAAATAGTGGGTGATGGGAAAGACCTGTGCCTGGGACCCCGGAGAGCCGCTGCCAGTCTGAGTTGGCAATACTGATGCTGATGGGGCTGATTCAGTAGAAGGCAGCTTCATGGGAAAGTGACTAGATCTACTACGGAACTGACGTCATTGTTCTGGGCTTATTTTACCAGAACCCATCTTGGAACTGAGGACTGAAGTGACACCTAGAGGACTATAGCGACGAGCACCTGCACTTTATGCATTATCGGATTGTTTTATTCTGTTTTAGTGTTTCAATCATGGCTCCGTGCCCTAATTGTTTAATCTTGGCTCTGCGCCCTAATTGTTAGCCGCCCTGAGCCCGTTCTGGGGAGGGCGGGATATAAATCGAACAATAAATAAAAAATACTTTAGGGGAGGGGCTGTGGCTCAGTGCTAGAGCATCTGCGTACAGAACATCCCAGGTTCAATCCCTGGCATCTCCAAACTAAAAGGATTAGGGAGGAGGTGATGTGAAAGACCTCCACTTGAGACCCTGGAGAGCTGCTGCCAGTCTGAGCAGGCGATACCGACCTTGATGGACCCAGGGTCTGATTCAGTAGAAGGCGGTTTCCTGTGTGCATGTGTTCAAAACCCCTTGGCTACATCGTAAGAACCTCAGTGATTATTTTTTAAATAAGTTAACTGCAAATTTGTTTGCTGCGAGCCTCGTCATTACGGAGAGACGTGTTATTAACTCAGAAGAGAAAAAGGCAGGGAAGAACATTTGCAAGCCTACTCCGTTAGAATCACTCCCCGTATACAAAACGCATTGGCAGATGCACCTCCAGAGAAGTGGCAGCCAAAGACACCAGACAGCAACCAAAACGCTTCCCAACGCCGTTCAGAACCCACCTGATCTTTCCAAGAATGGCTTGTTCTCGCCCCCTTCCCTTTTAATTTAGCCTCGACGGTGTACGAAATACTCAAACTCCACTTGATTTTCCCACAGTGGGAGAGGAGAGGAAATGATCATAGAGAGCAAAGGGGAGGCAAAAGGCACACACAGCCACAACTTCCGGTATCAAAATGAAAGGGGCCATTGGACCATAGAGGCAGAAGGCGAGCGTGGTACTGCACGCCCCCTAGTTGGCTTGAGGGAACTCCCCATTTTCTACGTTTTTCAGGGTGGGCGAAACTCTCACAAAAACGACATAAATGGGCAGCAAGCTCGCTGGGTCAGATCAAGGGTCCATGCAACCCAGCCCTCTATTTCTAGGATG